AGAAACATTTCAGCGTTTGTTCACTTGAAAATCCGGAAACGACCCAAGAGTCTGGTGGACTATTGCTAAACACATCACACTTCAGAAACAGGATGGGCTCCTGGAGGGTAATTAGTAGTTGCGAGGAGAAAGAATGCTTTCTGACCGGACTAAGTGATACATTGTACAATAAAAACGGCTGTTACAAAGCAATGTGAGTGAGACGAGCCCATTTGAAAAGTACAGACACAAAATGATGTATGCCACATTGTTAAACCCTGGTTGCCACCGGGTGACAAAATTATTGTTTTATTACTTTTATTTGGCTTTTAAATTTTCTTCTTTTGCTTATCCATGTTTTCTAATTTTTATAGAAAGGTAATCTTCTGTTTTTCTCGTTTTGAGGTTCTTTTCAAGAAGTGAGAGAAAAAACACTGACAACAGGGTTGGGGGAAGCAATCCCCACCGTCCAAGTATACTAAGGCGGATATGGGTGAACAGAGAGGAAATTGGAGATTTGCTGCAGGAAACTCTCCTGTTGTGGGAATGCGATCACAGGCCCTTTCTCCAGGACCGCTGGTGCTCAGCGAGAATATTCCTGGTTGCACTCCACCCATGAAGCATCAATGAAGTTAAAACCTCAATGGAAACCAAAATGGCCAAGTACCTACGTTATTAAATTTAAATGTAATTCAACAAATTTTATGATTCTAGTTCATTGTTATAAAACCAGCTACTTTTTTTGGCTGCCAGGTGAGAAGTTACTGTTTACACACATTGTCTTATTTGAGCCTCCCAAGCCACCTCTGAGCGAGTTATGTTCCCTTGTTACTAAAAAGGAAATAGGGCCCAGTGCATTTAAAACACTTCCAACCAATAAGTGGCCTCCTTTAACTGTCAGGCTCAAAAGCATACATTCTTAACTTAAGCACATAATAATTCCAAATATTCTAAATCAGGGGAAACTCTTCATAAGCTTCATTTTTTTTTTTTTTTGCAGTATGCGGGCCTCTCACCGCCACGGCCCCTCCCGTTGCGGAGCACAGGTTCCGAACGCGCGGGCCCAGCAGCCATGGCCCACGGGCCCAGAAGCTCCGCGGCATGTGGGATCTTCCCAGACCTGGGCACGGACCCGTGTCCCCTGCATCGGCAGGCGGACTCCCAACCACTGCGCCACCAAGTAAGCCCCATAAGCTTCATTTTTTTAAAAAATTTTTTGCGGTACGCGGGCCTCTCAACTGTTGTGGCTGGCCTCTCCCGTTGCGGAGCACAGGCTCCGTACGCGCAGCGCTCAGCGGCCATGGCTCACGGGCCCAACCGCTCCGCGGCATGTGGGATCCTCCCAGACCGGGTCACGAACCCGCGTCCTCTGCATCGGCAGGCGGACTCTCAACCACTGCGCCACCAGGGAAGCCCCATAAGCTTCATTTTTAATAGAGCTCTGATCTTCCAACAAAAGGTAGGCCAAAAGGTAATTATCCAACACCCACCGTAAATAGGGGCTGCCTCTCTCTTCCATGCTCACTAGTCTGAAATGCAATCATTACCACATAAAGCACCCTAAGGCATACTTACCTGCTATTTCCAGATTTTCTATTCTCTCTGGACCCAGGCTACCTGGGGCGGACTCCCAGCTTAATTGCTTAATAGCTGTGTGACTTTGGACAAGGTACTGATCCTGTACCTTCTCTCCTCTTGGTAAAGTTTATGATTTGTAATAATAACAGGCCCTCTTTCCTCTTTGGTTTGAGATCATTAGACGAGTCAGTACTCTGCACGCGCTATCTTCTTTACCGTTTTGTTTCTTACCGGCGTTGTTCACTTTTAACACATTCAGAATCTGGGAACTTCCCCCTTAGTCCTAAGGGAACTTCCGCCTTAGGACTTCTCCTTTTCAGAAATGTCCTGGCCACTCATGTACTTTCCCCCATAGTGAGTAGCTGAACACATTTTTAAAAATCCCTGATCCACGGAAGGCTGCAAGCCCATCTAGATACAGCCTCCTAAGAACCTCTGCTTCACCCTGAACCCCTCTTCCCTCCAGGGAATTACCTTCGTTCCCAGAGGTCCCCCTGAGGGAGTTGCTCGCCCACCTGCACTGCCCCAGGAAGCCTTCTCGAAGCCCAATCTGTCTGTATATTGGGGCGCTTGCAGCCATGGGAGACCAGTCCTTTGGGCCGTTCGTGGGTTCACAGAACTACGGGGAGCAGGCCGTCTGGGGAACACCCTTGGGAAACCGATGCCTGACAGAAAAAGAGCGGGGATGTGTGACGTCTTGGGTAGAGTGATGAGAAGGACAGAGGGAACGTAAACAAGAGCTTGGAAGAGTGACTCACCTGTCCTTCCTTTCTTGGAAGATGGCAGATGCAGGTGGGGCAGGGAACAGGAAAACCCTCCCAACATACTGACCCAGAGGCACTAGGAATGCTTTTTTTTTTTTTGCTAGAGAAAATATTTAAAAAAAATTTTTAAAGATGAGATGAGTATTACCGATTTTTCCTTCTGCTTCGGGCTCAAAGGTGGCTGGGCATTGGTGCTGTGCCCAAACAAGGCCCATTTCACCTGCTACAAACCTTCGTTCCCTCTGGTGGTAGGTCAGGTGCAGGGTCGGGGGGACAGGGACTCAGAGCCCAGGGTCTATTTACTGAGCATGCGGGACTCTGTGAGGTGGGTATTTTGCCATCATTCCCATATGACAAGATGCCCATCGGAGAGGTTAAGTCACTGGTCTAGTCACAGAACTGGTAGAGGGTGGGTTTGAGGTTAGCCCGCTCCCATCTGGCCCCCAAGTGTTGGTTTTCACATCACCCAGCAGCACACTGACTCGGAGGGTGGGAGAGAAGGAGGGAGGTCTCGCTGCGCACTACGTTCTCGTTACTCAGTAACCATGCTTGTTACACCCCAGGCCCAGGCTGGACGCTGACATCACAGATGAGTGAGTGTCCCTCCATTTGAGGGATCCATCCTCTCAGGACCTGTTGATTGCCTACTCTGTGCAGAGCAGGAAAAAAATCAATCTATTTATCTATTTTTGTCATTGAAAAAAACCTAAATAGATATTTAACCAAAAGCATTTTAAATTAACATAATATTACATGTGAAAACTTGAACAGACATACAAGTCTAAGAAAATGAAAGCACATTGTGAAAGTTCTTGATGATTTTGATTTTCTATCCTTGTAAGTTACATAAAGTGCACAGATCTTTAGGGTTTACCTCTGATTTTCCCATACATGCAGATACTGTGTCCTCACCGTTTCCAGCACGGTTCAAGGCTCTGTCATGCTGGTTTCCAGTCACTATCCCCCGACGGTGACCACCCTGGACTTAAGTCACCAAATGTTAGCTTTGCCTTTTTTGCACTTGATCTGCCTTCTCAAATGCTACAAAATTTCCCCCATGTAACCTTCTAGAAGGTCTATTTTTCCCCCTTTACATTTAAGTGTACAATTAATCTGGAAATAATTTTAACTTATGGTACGAGGTATGGGTGTGTCAACTCCCCCCCGCACACACCCCGTAGGACGTCCAATTCACCTGATTTATTGAAGAGTCTTCACCATTGCACTACAGTGGCACTTTCTGTCTTAAATCAGATGACGGTACATGTGTGGGTCTGCTTCTGGGCTCTCTGATCTGTTGTTCCATTGTTCTGTTTGTCTAGCTTTACACAAAACCATACTATTTTAATCATGGGATAAGTCGATATTCAGTGTGTATCCTTCAGTTTTCCTCCTCTTTGTCTTTGCTATGCTTCACCCTTTGCATCTTCACAGGAATTTCAGAATCAGCTGGTTACTTTTGACAAATGTGCATCTACTAGGATGCTGAGATGGCACTGAATTTATAGATCAATTTGGGAATTTTTTTAATATAAATTTATTTAGTTAGTTTTGGCTGCCTTGGTTCTTCATTGTTGTGCGTGGGCTTTCTCTAGTTGCAGTGAGTGTGAGCTACTCTTCGTCGTGCTCTGTGGGCTTCTCATTGTGGTGTTTCTCTTGTGGAGCACGGGTTCTAGACACGTGGGCTTCAGTAGTTGTGGCACGCGTGCTCAGTAGTTGTGGCTTGCGGGCTGTAGAGCGCAGGCTCAGTAGTTGTGCATGGGCTTAGTTGCTCTGCAGCATGTGGGATCTCCCCAGATCAGGGCTCGAACCCATGTCCCCTGCATTGGCAGGCAGATTCTCAACCACTGCACTG